CCATTATAGCCAAATGTAAAAAAAGAAAGTATAAATGACAAGTACAAGTCTAGAAATAAAGTAGAAATTAATAAAATAGAGAAGAATTAATAAAGATTTGATTAAATAAACCATGCCTCAAATCATCCTAAGTTTACTTATCTGATGACGGCTATGTAAATCTCTGTTAGGATTAGTGACAGACCTGTCATTACAATATTTATAGCATGAAAACTGGTATTGATGGAGTGAGGCACAATATGAAGTATAGCAAGGCATAAGATAGAATATGAAATAGAAATATAATATAAGAAACCGATATATCAGATCATGCATCAGTGTGGGGAAAAAAATCTGGAAAGTCTATTGAGGGATTGTATAATGCAATAGTCAATTTGCAGACATGTCCAAGTAATATAAATAGCAATAATAGCAATTAATTACATACAAACACCAATCTTAATAAACTTGTAAAAATCTAATAACTGTGTTGTTAAGTTATTAAGACAAAAGCAAGACCAAGTGATCTCAGAAGTAAAGGAGAGACTTTACTCACCTTACAATAATATGATATGAATGTTAACCCAGAGTTAGTGACAGACTCACCATTGATAACAATATATAAATTATATTAACAATTGCCTATTGTTATTTTTGTTTTTTCTTGTATTGCACTTTTCTGTTAACAATATAATAAAAAAGATTATTTAATTTATTTTTTTTGATTTTTTTTTTTAGAGGCAAAGTATATTACATGCAAACTTTTATTAACTTAGTGTTGAAGTTACAATCATTATATGAAGAGTCTGACTAACTATATTAGCTATTATAACCTTAGCACCACCTCTAATTCTAATCTGGTTACTAACTAACACCCCGGAGATGGGTTTGCAATCCAGGTGTGATCTATTCGAAGGGCATTTTATTACTTGCCACTGTCATTAGGGTTCTTATCACATCTCACCTTACCACCACCTGACCCTAGCTGCAGCTTGGACCGATTGATATAGATATGTACTCCCTAGTGAATGCTCCAGTTTGTCACCAGTTGGACACTACCAAATCTAGGGGCCATATGGTCAAATGGGGCATGACTCTTTAAGGAATAACCCTTAATCTCCTAGTAGACATTCCGTTACGGGCCAGTTGGCATAGGCTGCCAAGCCTAGGGGTATAAGATTATTTAATTTATATCTATGTAATGAATGAATGTATTATTTATATTATATTAAATAAATAAAAAATAGAAGTGCTATGGAAAGCCAAAGTTAATAGTTTTTAAATTTGAAATGATTAGTGGCATCAAAAGTAAGGATTTAGAACCTTGATTGCGAAAAGAGAAGAGCTTATTATTAAGAAACCTTCTTGGTTAAATAAATTACACACACCTTAACTCATCTCAAGATAAGTGAGTCTTGGTTCTGGTGTAACAAACTTGATGTTTTGCAGTCCAACATTTGACTGTGAGATAGGACATTCTTAATAAAATTGCACAAACGAGAATTGTGGCAATTTTAGAAAGAAAATCTGTATTAGTCAAAACTTAATTAAAAAGACAACCAAAAACAAACAAAGTTAAAACAGTACCTTTGTTAAAACTTGTAAGCTAGAACACATATATTGTTTACCAAAAACAAGGCCTTACTATCTTTTGAAAATTTGTGATTATTAATTAACAGCAAAAATGTTAAAAATCTTAGAATTATGGATGAAAAAATTCATTTTATTCTGCTATGTCGAAGCATTTGAAAAGATATAAGAAATAATTTCACCATCTGGAAAAAACAAGAAATAAGAATAAAGAAAAAGACTCGTGATTGAAGATAAAGTTTTACAACTAAGCCACTAACTGAAAAAATTAAACAAGTGATGAAAAGTTAAAAAGGATAATTAGGTATCTAGAAGAAACAACATTGAAATGGTATCAAGATTTTTGGGATCAATTTACATATTGGATGGTAAATATATTCAAGAAGAAAGTTTTATACTGGCATTTATACTATATTTTATAATGCTTAAGCAACAGTACCAGTCAAGAGAGGAAATAAAAATACTAAAACAAAGAAAGAATGAAAGAGTAATTGAATATGTCTATAGGTTTGTCAAGCTACTTGAAAAAGTCTATCCCAAAGTACAATTATGACAAGGAACAGACCAGATGAATAGTTATAGATGAATTAATAAGAGACGTGATAATTTCATCTTCCATAATTGATATAACTATTCCAAAGAAAATACTTAGGGCAGCAGCAAAGTTTAAAGCTAATACCAAAAAAAAATTCAAAAGAAAAATAGAGCTAGGAGATCACATTCAATAAGCAAGAAACCAAATGTAAAAAATAATGAAAAAATATATTATGTCAACTGTTTTTAATAAATCTATTACTAATGATACAAAAAGATTGATCAGGAAATTTGAACAATATATTGTATATGGTGAAAGGAATCATTGTATCAAGGATTGCCTAGAGAAAGACTTACAATCTAGTGATACTGAAAGTGACTATGATAGGAGGAAAGAGAACTGTCAAGTTAGGTACTAGAGCTTATTAAAAAAGAACAGTAGCAGCAAAAGGAAGGTTGTATCAGAGTCAAGAATAATAAGAAACTGAAACTAGGCTAATGGCTCAAGCCTAGGAATTTAAGTGCAATAATAATGACACAGCATCACCTGAAGAAATAAAAAAAAACCTAAGAAAGAAAGATTCAGGATTCAAAAGGAGAAAGGATTCTGGATTCTGAATAATGAGGCAGAAAATGTATCTACTGATGAGATCGATGATAGGAAACCCTGTGATACAGTTGGAAAGAATATTTCACAAGGCAAAAGCTGATATAAGAAAGGGAAAATGAACAAAGGTGAAAAAGAAGTGATATATTGTTAGGAAAGGAAAAGTAAGATGACAGGAGAGATACATAAAAATTCCAATTCCGATGATGAACCAAAAAAGTACTGACTGATGATATTGGCAGAGAGGGATCTTATAATGGATTATAAGAACATTTTGTGAAATGAAAGTTTAGATAAAAAATGAATATGTGTGAAGAAGAAAATGATGAAAAAGAAGCAATAGGAAAGATGAGTAGTAGTCCCAACTCTGATGATAAAGCCTAACCAGAGATTCCAAGCCAACATATTTCTCCCAATTTGAAGAAATGTTAATGGCGACTAAAGAGAATCTAATAAGGTTAATAAAACTGAGGGACAGGGAAAAAGTGAATCAGAAGAATGATATGAATCAATAGAAGAAGTAATAGCGAAAGAACCAGGCAGTGCAATAATAAGGGAACAGTTTACATTTGCAATAAAGAACAAGAAGAGATGAATGGAAAGAATGGCTATTTCACCACAAAAATTAGTGATGAACTCAATACTAAACCATGCTCCAACAATTCGAAAGAACAGAAAGTCAATCTGAACAAATGAAAGAAGTGAACGAAATGCTACACCAGTAAAAAAATCATCAGGAATACATGATAAATACCAGATCATAGTGAATAGAGAAAAGACAGAAGCCGATGAAAGTATAAAGAGCAAACAAATACTGAGAATGGATAGGATGTTGGGAGTAATGTTACAAATTGTTAATTGAAAAGTTCAAAATTAACCAATTAGAATTCAGGATTTTTAGTTGCAACTAGTTGATTATATTGAAAACAACTAATCAATTAGAAAAATTTTTGCCAACTAAGATCACTAGTTGAGAGCTTCCAGAAGAATAATTCAAGGGCTAGTGTGCTCTGAGATAGTATAAGGTTTTGTCAACATCAACAAAATACATTGATCAATCAGAGCGTGTATGAAAAGAATAAGAAAAGAACTGTATCTGATTACCTGGATAGTGCATGCACTCAGCGATGAGACATTTAGACTGCACACTATTCTGACATCATGGTAATGAGTAATGAACACATTTTTACAAAATTTTGAAGAAGGTTTATGGTAACATATTTAGGTGTTTTCACAAAATTAGCACTTTGAATAATGACAAGTTCTTAAATAAAATAAAATAAGTCTTTTGAGAGACCCTATAAATGCGAAGTCATATTTTCTGCTGCAACATATTTTAAGAACAAGAAAGTAATTGATTGATTGACTACAATAATGTAGATGGAGGTTTTTTAAATAATCAATTTATATTGTATGTTTCGACATTTTGCTTATTTTATTTTATTTTTTTAGAAATCTAAACCTGAAAATTATTTTATATTATCAAAAATTTCTGTTAATGATATATCTGTTGATATTCTTGCAGAGAACCAAACAGTCAGAGAAAATGATATCGAATTTATGGAAAATAGGAAACAAATATTGATTAAATTAATAGTTATTTAATATGATGATTTCTATATAGGGTATATCTGTTGATGTTAATGTCAAGCATGGCATAACAACTTTAAATTTAAGATTCAGAACAACAAAAGAAAAATTCAAGATAATCAAGTAGCTGAAATGTGAATATAAAAAAAAATAAGTTGATATTTTGAATGTATTTGTTAGCATGCTGGTATTGGCCATCAAAATATATCAACTTACCTTGTCTCTAGTCAGTCTTAATAAAATAGTAAAAGTAAAATTTATCTATCTAAAATATATATATTCTATTAAAATTATAAACAGTGTATTTTTTTTTGCTAGTTCACATCTGAAAATGTAATAAAAGGTTCTCGTAAAAAAAGATTGCACGAATTTTATTTTTTCGTGAATTCTTAAAATAATTTATGTAATAATCCTAAGACCGATTGAATTGGCAGACTCTAATTATTGTTCGTCATTAAATTATTAGCATTACTAATTTATAAAAAATGTTTCACCAAATTCTTAAATTTGTCAATATATTGTTTCTTCGGGTGTATTACACATGCTTATAAACACTGCACGGTTTTAGATGTGCTATTCTATATAAATCGAAAGTTTTACTAGTTGAAATTATTGTATTAAAAGATTCACAATGGTATGCTTCTAATACTTTTTCTCGTGAAAATGAAATAATGGCAGCCCTACTTATTTGATATTAATATTAGAACGCAAAATATTCAGACTCCTTAAATCCTATCCTTTTCAAATTTGGAATACATGCTAATTCTAATATTGACGGCGGTCCGCACATTAATACAATAGTCTTCGAATCTTCCCCAGGAGCTGGAAGTTGCTTCCTAATCATCATCTCCGTAACGTGTCCAATCCCGTAGGTCCACTGATTTCCGACTATTTCACTCACCGTATAATATACTCTGAATCTCTTTTCCTCACTTCTTGCCAATTCATTCAATTCTTTGCGCAGTAAAATATCCTTTTCAGTTCGATTCGCATAAATCAATGATAATTCAGTAGAATCATTTTTGTCGTGTAATACCGATTTTATTATTTGGTAGACGGGACCCTCCGGCAATCATTCCTATGCGGTTACAACTGCGCAACGAAATGCCTTCACTTGGTACTGGCCTTAGCCAAGGTACACGAACGATCCGATGGGTCCTTTCACTTCAATGAAATCATTGATATTCAATGATTCCAAATGTTGAGTCATTAGTCCGCCATCTGGAAAATTTGGATGGACATTGCGGAAGTAGACTTTCACCAAAAGGTCGAAGTAGCCTGGTGGATCATAAGAAGTCGTGATAGGCGTGTAGGCGCGTATGACTGCTTTTTCGTTCACCACGAATGAAGATGTGATTTCCGGGGGGTAAACCGAGTTTCTGGTCCTGAGTTTTCAGTGAGAATCTAAATATACGAGTATCGTGACTGATAATTCTTTTTTGAATGAGCGGACATCTTAGCCATGTTTTTGGATTCAGGGCAATTAGGGTATCAACATGGGGTTCCGTTATTGGTGACGTCTTGCTAACGGGTATCGCGGCGTCACCAATATAGTAATCGTCGAGCATGGCATAAGCCTTGGGAGAATGAATGGAATTGAATTCGTCGGTACAATCGGTTCCAGCATTGATAAGAATACTGTCAACACCTATTACGAAATTTATGATACGGAGAAATATTATCAAGGGGAAAATATTAAATCTATAATTATGAATCAACAATAAATTCAACATACCACCAGGGTGTTCTTTGAGTAACTTTGTACAGTCATATACCTTCTTTTTGATAACAATCCATGCATCGTTTGCGTTTTCGTGTTTTGCAACCTGCTCAATAGTATATTTGGGCTTTCCAGTATTTGATTCATTTGTCAAAATCTTCACTGGTGCGTTTGCCGTCGAATTCATACTAGATTTGACCATCCATCCGCCAGGATTATTACCCTCCAACTTCGTGCCAGATCTTCGTGCCATTACTACTGTATACAGTGGTACCCAAAATTTTTTGGAAAATTTTTTAAAAAATTAAAAATTGTATTATTATTTAATAAATATTGATTTAAAAAATATAAAAAAAATAAATATAAATCTTTTAGTATTAATAAATAATTTTTTTTTTAATGTTAAGTGAGGCATTTCTCACAATCTTTATTAATATAGTAAAATGAATTGTTACATGATTAATATTAAG